CTGGACTGCAAGGAGAACAAACCTATCCGTTCTGAAGGAAATCAACCCTGAGTGCTCCCTGGAAGGACAGATCCTGAAGCTGAGGCGCCAATCCTTTGGCCATCTTATGAGAAGAGAAGACTCCCTGGAAAAGACCTTGATGTTGGGAAAGCGTGAAGGCAAGAGGAGAAGGAGATGACAGAGGACAAGGTGGCTGGACAGGGTCACCGAAGTGACCAACATGAATTGGACCCAACTCTGGGAGGCAATAGAAGACGGGAGGGCCCGTGCGGTCACGAAGAGTCTGACACGACTTAATGAGTAAATAACAACAACAACAAAATATTTTAGCCCCAGAACAACTCTGACTGCAGAGCCAGTGGCTGCGAGTTCGATTTCCACACTGGGCCTCCAATGGCAGTGCCTGGACTTGATGATCGACAGGGTCCCTTCCAACTCTGCAGTTCTGAGATTATTAATATGGAACTGCTGGACAGCTCAGAGGCTTATGTCTCTAGCTGGAAAGCCAGAGAGGTTGGGAGTTCGATTCTCCCCAATGGGCCTCCTGGGAGAAGAGCCAGCCTGGGTGGCCTTGGGCCAGCTGCTTCTGAGGACTCTCTACCTAGAAAATCCTCAAAAGGTGTCCTGACTTGATGGCACTCAGTAAGGCTGGCTTTTCAGAAAGCTGTTGAGTTCTCGTGGAGTTCTTGTTCACACACTGTATCAGGAAACCTGTTGTAAAAGCAGATACTGTGCCGCTCACAGCTACCAAGTTTTGTCTCCCAGGGAGAGTTTTAAAAATTAACCATTTTACAGTCTGCCTCTTTATTTTAGTGCCCAAATCAGAGGAGAAGCGATCCTATAGATATTAAATGTTTCCAGCTCTGGGTTAAGGGCTAAGCTACCAACCCTCTAACACAGCAGAGACTTCCTTCTGTATCCTCCCATCTTCCGCCAAACTCCAGAGCATGTGACTGACCTATTTAATGCTTCTGGAGAAAACTTCAAGAGGTCTCTCCAAAAGCAGCACTGGAAAACCAGCACCCCGTCCCTTCCAAATGCAAACTTTCCCATTGTAACCCGACATAAAAGAGCTTTGTGGTGAAGCAGTTAAACTGCAGCGCGACCGCCAAAACTCTGTTCGCCACCCGGGTTTAATCCCAGCTGGCTGGCTCAAGGTTCACTCAGCCTTCCATCCTTCCGAGGTCAGTAAAACGAGTACCCAGCTTGCTTGCGGGAGCGGTGGAATCTGTAGCCAGCAAAATTAAATTGTAAACCAAGCAGAGAGTGCTTTAAGCGCTATGGGGTGATGTATTTTGCTTGCATAAAAGAGATTCTTTTTTTTTTTTTAGAATGCTGCAGACACTTGACTAATTAAGCCCAGATTTGTGCTTAACGTTTTGCAGTCCTTTTAATAAACAACCACATGGTTTCCCCTGGTAATATCAGTAATTCATCATTTCTCTGTAGAAAGAACAAGAAGAAACCATGACAAGACGCCCAAGATCACTCATTTATCCTGTTCCATCTGTGAGAAGCCATGAGGAGCTGCCAGAGGTCCGTGTGTTTGACGGGGGGAAAAGGAGCGGTGAGATATTAATGTCTGCCGGCCGTTTATATATTTACTTTAACATCTTATTGGATAGATTAATTGTTAATACTTAAGGCCAGATGTTTCAGGTCCAAGCATCTGCTAATCAGGACAAGGAGAACAAGCGAGCGAAACTCATAAGGAAAGGGAACCAACTGCAGGGGAGAACACACACACACACACACACACACACACACACACGCACACACACACACACACACACACACACATTTTTCTCAAAAAAGGCATAATCTAAACAAAGTTTAGTTGCAAATTGACCTGCTTGTCTCTCCTGAACCAAAACCACCACACTTTCACTACAGCTATGTTCCTTATCTTACAAATATCATTATCCGTATTGTGTACACAGAAACAGACAAGACCCACAACACTTTAGTTACACAAGCTGGTCAACTGTGGGCTAGCACAGTAAACAGCACGAGGGGAGGCCAACTGAATCCATGGGGATCGGAAGAATTCAACCCCTCCGTAAATTCCATTGATGCAAACGGGCCTGCTCTAGCGCAATAGACTATGCTCGGAGATAGGGTTTGGGTTCGGGATTCTGTTGGGCATTTGGCCCGGGGAACCTAAAGGGAACCAAACCCGAATCAGTCCGTAACACCTCGCCTTGACTCAGGGGCTGACCTGAAGGGAGGAATTGCAAGCAGCTAAGGAAAGTAGAAATATTTTCAGAAACACCCTGCCTTGCAAAACCCTGAAGTTGCATCATCTTTCAGATCTCAGCATCCTCAAATGCAACCAACAGATCTCCTCCACCCCCTTTCTTCTAGGTTATCATTTTCCCCTCGATGTCCTCTGATGTGTGATGATGATACCTGCTTCTGAGTTCTTGGACTCTGGGGAAAAAATAACCTAGAAGTGTTTGATTTAACACATGAGCGCCAAGATTGTTCTTTTGTTTTGTTTTTAAACAGTCTTTGCGCTCATGTGTTAAATCACATCGGATCTTTTGGAAACAGCAGGTTGACTATCGTGATGTATGGAAGTGAGAGCTGGACCATAAAGAAGGCTGACCGCCGACGAATTGATGCCTTCCAATTGTGGTGCTGGAGGAGGCTCTTGAGAGTCCCCTGGACTGCAAGGAGAACAAACATATCCATTTTGAAGGAAATCAACCCTGAGTGCTCACTGGAAGGACAGATCCTGAAGCTGAGGCTCCAATCCTTTGGCCATCTGATGAGAAAAGAAGACTCCCTGGAAAAGACCCTGATGTTGGGAAAGTGTGAAGGCAAAAGGAGAAGGGGACGACAGAGGACGAGATGGTTGGACAGTGTCACCGAAGCAACCAACATGAATCTGACCCAACTCCGGGAGGCAGTGGAAGATAGGAGGGCCTGGCGTGCTCTGGTCCATGGGGTCACGAAGAGTCGGACACGACTAAATGACTAAATGGCCAACGACGAGGTTGACTGCACTACGATCTAATGTATTTAATTTAATAAATATTTTGACCCCCGCCTCTCTCCTTAAAAGGACCCAAGGCAACTGTAAGGCTGAATCATTAACAACTCTACTTTCAAACCATCCTTCTCTCCATGCTTGGTTTTGTCCTCTCCTCGGCAAGTAAACTACAGGGGAAGCATTAACATGTTAAATCTAACGTCTTTGTTCCAAGGATGGGAGCATTAAATCCAGAAGAGAGAGATGCCACCTCCAGCTATCAAGAGAGCATCCCATGGAATCTTCCATGTGCAAATGGAAAGCGACCTTCCGGACAACCGCCACTCCCCGCTTCCCCATCACTCCCAGGGCCTTCTGAGCCACAGTGTCCCAGTTCTATCCCTCCGCAATGACGCAGATTCCCCCCCCCCAATTGCCCAGCATCCTCTGCCTTGAGGATAAGGCAACAAAGCAGAGCGCATGCCGCTTGCCGCTCATAGAGAGCAGGGCTCAAGATCACAGACGCAAGGGCGGGCGTTGGGGAAGGGGGTGCGATTCTCCCGCAGAAAGATAAGACAGACCATGCTTCTCCACCTTTTCAAAGCTGCCTATTTTAATGTACATGCTTTGCATCTGAATCTTCTAAACGGATCTGTGTTCTGCTCTTACAGATTTATTCCGATCTATTTAGAAGCTTCAAAGTTAAAACATGTACATTCAAATCAGTCTGCAGGGCAATGCAAACGTTTCGCCCATTCTTATAAATCTACCAAGGTGTGTGTGTGTGTGTTTTGTTTTGTTGATGGTTCAATACCCTTTTGTTATGTATTTCCTGTTCCATGCATTTTATGTGCACCAGCCTTGAAATGTGTACTGAAGTAGACATATCCATCATTTACAGAGAAGACCATCCCCTGCCTAGATCTATAAAGTGGGTGAGAAGAACACAGCAGCAAACTGTGTCTTGATTGACAACCTTGATTGATCCATGACAGGCCACCATCTTTGGGCAGCCGGGCTTCTATGCCTTCACCAAGTGGGCCCTTCCAAAAACACGCCTCCTCCGTGGCCTCCTCATGAGGTGCTTGGGCTCCTTCCCTCCCAAAGAGCAATGCCAGCCCTGTGCAAACTCCCGGCTCTGCCAAGCTGGCCGGGTCTCAAGCACAGCTCCGGCGTCAGGTTGCACAACCGCCCTCCAGCGACCAGCCCGGCAAAGGCCAAAAGAGCCCAGAAATTTGCCCAGTGGGTGACAAACCAGCTCCAGGGATAAAGACGGCCCAGAATATTTGCAATCTGCCTCAGGGGAAAGATGACACACTGTCACGAAATCACGGACATCTTCAAGGGACGACAAGCACAACCCGTTCACACGTCCCGTCGGGTGCTGACGATTTATCACCCAAACTCAACAGCGAGGCAATGCTACACACGTGTGTCAATCCAAGTGAGTTTAGATGAGAACGGGTGTGTTTTTAATGGTTCTGCGGGTGTCGGCTTCACCCACGTCAATTATGACTCCAGCAAGGAAGAGACAGGAGACCACAGGTAGGAGGAAAGCACCTTTTTGGCCGCTGTTTGTCTCACAGATGGGAAGCAGTGTTTCCTAGAACAGTGGTCCCGAACCCCCACAGGTAGGAGGAAAGCACCTTTTTGACCGCTGTTTGTCTCACAGTGTTTCCTAGAACAGTGGTCCCGAACCTTGGGCCTCCAGGTGTTCTTGGACTTCAACTCCCAGAAATTCTGGCCATCAGAGGTGGTGGTGAAGGCTTCTGGGAGTTGTAGTCCAAGAACATCTGGAGGCCCCAAGGTTGGGGACCACTGTCCTAGAAGACCTAAACTGACACGGCCGCTGGTTGGATAAGCTGGCAGCTGGCCAAAGCCATTCCTGTCCCCAACGGTTTGAAAGATGATGGGTACTGCAAGAATCCCAGGAGGAATTCTCCAGTGCAAGAGGCTAAGGAAGGAAAAGAAATCCCTGTGGATCGGGGCCCAATGCCGCCACCCAGGCCCAATGCCCAGCTCTAACCTGTTGATTCCGGGGCTTGTAAGGCGAGCTGCTCTCAAGGTCCGCTAAGATACTGGTCAGGGAATCGATTTCTGCGTCCAGGCTGGAACGCCGGTCTTCCAGCGTCTTGCCCCCTGGGTTGCTCTAAAGAAAGAAAGAAAAGAACAAGATATACCTTTAAAATATATATTTTTTAAAAAGCAGAATCAGGAAGTTCTCTTCCAGGGGTTCAGTCCAGCACAGAAGACGGGAACATCTCCACTTCATACAGGGCTGGCAAGAGTCCTTGCCTCTTGGAAGACAGCTGGGTAAGGAGATGATGACATGGAAAAGCAAGAAGCACAACGTCAACTCTGTTACACAACCATGTGGGCTGCTCTTAATTGAAAACCCCTCTCCTTTCCCCCAAACCCTTACGCTTTTGTTCCCGAGATGCAAGTCCCCCACATGTGTGAAGCTGGATCCACTTGCTGTCTGCCATTAATTCTTGGTTGGCATTAAAAACAACGGGATTTGCAACGAAACAGGCACAGGGGGGGAAGCAGCGGCCCCCTTTCCTTGTGAGAAAAACAAAAACAAACACTGTAGGCATCCTTCAGTCTCGAGAGACGATGGGAACGGGCTCTGTATGGAGGACTTGGAGCAGCGTCTAGTGTGGCTGAGAAGACCAATTCGAAAGTGACAACAATCCCTTCCACCCTGAAGACAAATACAATCTGTCCCCTGTCCAGCTCTCTGATTTGGCTGGTTTCGGGACAGCCTCTTTGCCTCAGCCTGCTGGACAAGGGTCTCTTCAAATTGGGAGAGGCCGTGATGCACTGCCTGCCTCCAGGCTGAACGGTCAGATGTCAGGGTTTCCCATCTGTTGAGGTCTATTCCTAAGGCCTTCAGATCTCGCTTGCAGATATCCTTGTATCGCAGCTGTGGTCTCCCTCTGGGGCGATTTCCCTGCACTAATTCTCCATACAGGAGATCTTTTGGAATCCGACCATCAGCCATTCTCACAACGTGCCCAAGCCAACGTAGACGTTGCTGGTTCAGTAATGTATACATGCTAACAATTCCAGCTCGTTCTAAGACTACTCTGTTTGGGACTTTGTCGTTCCAGGTGATACCAAAAATACATCAGAGGCAACATATTTATTTATATTTATTTCATTTCTATCCCGCCTATCTGGCCAGATTCGACCACTCTCCTGCCGTGCACAAAAGGGTTCCAGGACTCACTGCAGGACAGGAGTGCGCTTAGGACACAGGCTCTATAGACCTGGATCTTGGTACCAAAACCAAACAACCGAATCAATTAAAGATGTTGATTACCAAGTCTTCGAATGTCGTGGGGCCAGAATTACCTAAAATGCACGTCTCCTCCTGTTTGAACCTGCCTTGAATTTAAGGACCCCAATGAAGGCTCCATCACATGTCCCACACAGAGTTCTAGAGTAGCTAGTTGCAAGTAACAGCTAGTTCCTTTTTGCATCACAAAATGTAGCCTTTAGGTATGACCACAATCTGTTACTGTCCAAAGTTATTTTAGGGGTTGATGACACCTCTTTCTGTTGGCCCTCATTCAGAAGCAGGGTCTCTGAAGGTGAGGATGGGAGCCTTCTGCTTGGACCTTTGCCATCTGGTGTCCTACAGGGTTCCGTTCTATCCTCTGTTTGGCTTAAAATCTGGGGTCAGGAGATGGTTTGGGGTGCTGGGCATTTATGAGTAATGATAGAACGAGGGCACACAGTTCCCTTTCTCTTTTCCACCTGAATTCAGGGATGTTCTGTCCTTCATTAGTGCTTGGCGGAGGCTCAGAATCAGAAGCTTAATCAGAAACAAGGAAGCTCTATACCATCCAAGTGCTACCAAGATAGTAAGCGGCCTGGAGACCGAACTCGATGAAGAATGGAGTGGGGGATGTTTAATCTGGAGAAGAGAAGACCGTGGGGGGATACGAGATCCACCTTCAGATATCTGGAAGCCCATGGCGTGGAAGGGGGAGCAAGCTTGCCTTTTGCAACGCTGGTGGTCAGGGCCTGAAACCACAGATTTAGATTACAAGAAAGGAAATTGTCACTCGGCAGCAGGAAAGACTGATGGTTAAAGCTGTTGGAGAGCGAAATGGCCTGCCCCTGAGGGGAGGGGACTCCTCGGTGGTTTCAAACAGAGACTTTGCCAAGAATACCCCATGAACAGAAACAAAAGGCTAAAAGATATGACGCTGGAAGATGAGCCCCTCAGGTTGGAAGGTGTCCAACATGCTACTGAGGAAGAGCGGAGGACAAGTACAAGTAGCTCCAGAGCTAATGAAGTGGTTGTGCCAAAGCTGAAAGGATGCTCAGCTGTGGACGTGCCTGGAAGTGAAAGCAAAGTCCGATGCTGCAAAGAAGGATACTGCATAGGAACCTGGAATGTAAGATCTATGAACCGTGGGAAGCTGGAGGTGGTCAAACAGGAGATGGCAAGAATAAACATCGACATTCTGGGCATCAGTGAACTAAAATGGACGGGAATTGGCGAATTCAGCTCAGATGATTATCATATCTACTACTGTGGGCAAGAATCCCGTAGAAGGAATGGAGTAGCCCTCATAGTCAACAAAAGAGTGGGAAAAGCTGTAATGGGATACGATCTCCAAAATGATAGAATGATGTCAATACGTATCCAAGGCAGACCTTTCAACATTACAATAATCTAAGTTTATGCACCAACCACCACTGCTGAGGAGACTGAAATTGAACAGTTTTATGAAGATTTACAACACCTTCTAGAACTGACACCAAAGAAAGATGTTCTTCTCATTCTAGGGGACTGGAATCCTAAAGTAGGGAGTCAAGAGATAAAAGGAACAACAGGGAAGTTTGGCTTTGGAGTTCAAAACGAATCAGGGCAAAGGCTAATAGAGTTTTGTCAAGAGAACAAGCCGGTCATCAGTAGTAAAAACAGATTATCTTCTCTGCAGCCAAAGATGGAGAAGCTCTATACAGTCAGCAAAAACAAGACCTGTTTCAAACAGAGACTGGACGTCCTCCAGTTAGGGATGCCTTAGCGGCCTGTCCTGTCAGGGGCCCATGCTTGGGGTTCCTCCCATCTGAACAGTTTCTGTGGTTTTAAGTAGTCCTGGTAGGATGAGGGGGTTCCAGCTTTTTCCAGACTGGGGGTAGCACTCTCCTCGAAAGTCTGGATCCGTCGCTTGTCTCCTGGATCCAGATTTTATTGCTAGATTTGCCTTCATGGGGGACACGGCATTGAAAGGCCACTAGCGTAAATGGCATGCATTGCCATCATGCTCCGTTCCCAACCACGGGGGGGTGGGGAGGTCACTTGCCGGCGCGTAATGGCACCTATAACTACTGCACATGGACTCAAACAGTACGTGCATGCTCATGATCCACTCACAGCTCAGCCTGCAACGGATTTGCACCCTGTATCCCCTTAAGCATATGCTGGATGGCTCATAACATGGTGCCTACAGGCCAGCTGGGCTCACCTTGGCCCCAAAGCATATTTCCTGTCACGGTCCCTACAAGCCATCAAGGACGGCGACGGGCCTTTAGAAATGTCCGAAGGGGTGGAGCGCCACAGGGATGGCGAAACAGCCTGTGCTCCCAAAACAAGGTTGCAACAAGAAAAATATTGGAACTGCTATCTCTTGCATTGCTGAAGAGCAGTGGCTCCCGATCATGGCTCTCTGGATGTTCTTGGAGTGCAACTCCCAGAAGCCTTCGTTGCTAGCTGTGCAGGATAGGATCTCCGGGAGTCGTACTCCAAGAACATCTGGGGACTCAAGATCAGGACGCACTGCGCGACAGCATAGATAGAGCCCCTGCTTTAGAGGTTGTTGCTGAGTTTTCCAGCTCTGAGTAGCTTTCTACTTTGCTTGGTGGCATGATAAACTGCTCTTGGAACCATCTCTCTCTCTCTCAATCTCTCTCTCTTTCTAACAAAATAGGAGTGAAGGTATGTTTCTACTCTCTTGAGGAGGACAATTATAAAGCTTTCATAAAGCACACAAACACACACACACACACACGTGACGGTTCCCCAGAGGTCTGTCCATCCTGGCAAACATCTTTAAAGCAATGGAACATTTCTTTCAAACAATATTTATGACAGCGGAGAAAGCCAGGGGTTATATAATCCCTGTTCCCATAAATTATCGAAGTAGGAGAGAGAAAAAAAAATCCAAACCACAGGGATTGCATGGAGGGGGATGTAGACCAGAAGCATGTGACATTTCAAGCCTGGTTCGAGTCTAACACATTGGCAGGATGCAGCGGAAGCTTCTCCAGCTTCGACGCTGAGCACAGATCAGACAGACTGCGATTGGTCCTTCTGCGTCGGTCTGAACACTGTCCGCGTTCCCGATCTCAAGGAGCCGTCCCTACCTTCCCCTTCCCTCCATCTTTTCATCCTCCATACAGAGAGGCGGAAAAATCTATTCTTATCACCTGCATTTTTCAGCTGGGGCGCCAAAGGCTAGCAGCCGGATCTTCCCCTCCGGGGTGAACCGCAGGCAAATCTAAGGGCCCCGGGAGTTGCCCCCCCCCACTTTGGGCATCAGACCTTCGGTCTGTCTAGCAGCTCTTCCCAGGGTAGGGGAGCCGAGGGCCAACCCAGGGCTGCAGTGGGGGCTTTGCCCCAGGGCCCCAACCTTGAGCGGTGAACCCACTGGGGGTATCATGAGAAAACACACAGCACACCTCCCGGCCAGTTAATCCCTTCCTTTCTTCCTTGAATGCACAGACCTTCTCTCTGTTTTTGGAGGGTTGGCGTTTTTCCTTTTCTTTGTTGGGGAGAGGAATGGCTTAATCTCCTGCCTCAGGGTGGAGCTTAGTCTCCCAGGGGCCAAAACGACGCATTATAACTCTGGACCTCCCTCAGGTCTCCATCTGGACCTCCCCAGATGGCCGTATTCCCTGGCTGACAATATCGTCGCCGTTGCAACTTCTCAACTTCAGATATACAGTGGTGCCTCGCTTACTGACGATAAGCGAAAAACATCATAAAGCGAAATTAAAAAACCCATTGAAACGCATTGAAACCTGTTCAATGTGTTCCAATGGGGTAAAAACTCACCGTCCAGCAAAGATCCTCCATACGGCGGCAAGATCCTCCATACGGCGGCCATTTTCGCTGCCTGTATAGCGAGGAATCCGTCCCTAAACACAGCGGGGAGCCATTTTAATTACCCGGCAGCCATTTTGAAACTGCCAATCAGCTGTTAAAAAAACCATCATTTTGCGAAGAATCCATTCCCGAAGCAGGGAACCGATCATCGCAAAGCGAAATTCCCCCATTTAGACCATCGTTCTGCGATCGCAATCGCGCTTTGCAAAAAAGATCGTCGTAATGCGGATTTGTCGTAATGCGGGGCAATCGTTAAGCGAGGCACGACCATAACCTCCCCACCCTCCAAGGCTTCTGTCCCGCACCACACCGGGCTCCCCATGTTTTGAGCAATGTAAAGTTTGCAGGAAAGGTCTTTAGTAAGGTGGTGAGCAACCTTGGGGCTCGCTGGCAGACCTGACCACCCAGCTTCTAAGACCCCCTTTTTGGTGGCTTCGCATTGGCACCATGGGCTCCCGGCCCCTATTCCAAAAAGCTTAAACGGTTGTCTTAAGACGCGATCACCACTAAGAGCTGCAAAACCCAATTTTGCAGGCCTTTAATATATAATCCGTATCACAGAACATCAAAGACTATCACAGAAGAACTGAGTTGGAAGGGCATCCGGTCCAACCCTCTGCTCGGGGCAGGAATCCAGATCAAAGCAAATCTCACAGAGGGTGGTCCAACGTTCTCTTGAAGGCCTCCAGCGTTGGGAGCGGTCACTACCTCCAGAGGTAGCTGGTTCCATTGATGTACTGCTCTAACAGTTAAGATGTTGTTGTTTTTTCTGGATAGCCTAACTGCAGAGCTGGAAGGAACTCTATGGATCATTGATTGATTGATTGATTTGTTGATTTATTTATAGCCTACCCTTTTGTTGTGGAATCTTCTCTGAAACTAAATGGGGGCTGATTTGAAGCCCCCCCTATGTGTGTTCTACTCTAACTCTCAAGAAAGCATCTCCTTGACTTTCCAGTCCCCAAATGAACCTGGGAAGCAGACGCTCCCTGGCTCCACTCAGGAACCCCATCACAACTGCCGGTTGCAAGACCCATGTGTCACAGATTTGGGAGGCGGGGGAGGAAACTCTGCAGGTGAGAACTCCCCCTCATCTCTCTCTTTTCAACCCCCCCCCGCCTTCCCCATTTATAGCACCTTTCAAAAGTCTCTCTTGGGACTTGATCTTGGAGATCAGCCAGAGGAAGAAGAGGTCAATCATCCCTTGAAAGTGGATGCTGACCTATAAGTCCCACAACCGTTTGGGACCTCGGTACACGACAGAACGCCTCCTACCGAGAGGGACCGCCTATTGAACCTGCGCATCCCAGGCTGGGTGGCTGAGGACACCAACCTTAAGAGGAGCCCGGAAGGAGAAAACAAGGACCCAGGCTTTCTCAGTGGCTCCCCAAAACTCACTTGGCCCCTTCTTTGGAATCTTTTAAGAAACCTTTCCAGCCCTTCTGTTTCCGCAGGCTTTTCCAAACCCTTCCACCTTAAAAGTCCCACTGAGATGATACGCTTAACATCTACTGTATAGCCACTGCCTGATTGTACTTTGATTTGATTTCATATTAATTGTAACTGTTGTTCACTGAATTATACATCAATACCGTTCATACTGTTTACGTTGTACACTGTCTAGAGGGACCACTGGTCAGATGAGCGGGTTAGAAGTTTGGAAAACAAACAAATAAAATAAATCTACTTGATTTCTTTAGTGGTCCAATAATCACCTACTCCTGAAGTTGTATTTTTGGGGAAGCACACAAGGACTTTTTTTCTGGGTGGAGGTTGTGTTTTTCCCCCCCAGATTATGGAGGATATTTCTTGTGAGAGTGACTGAGATAATGCAGCCCAGATGCTCTGAGCACAACAGAACATGTAAAAATAGGACAAAGCGAAGCAAAAGAACAAACGCTTAACATCTGGACAGCACCTCTTTAATGTTCACATGTCAACAGAGCGCTGGAGTCAGACTTGAGTTCAAATCATTGGCTGACTTTTGGGCATTCACAATCCCTTCCAAGCTGCTCTACCTCGCAGGGGGGTTCTGAGAATAACACAGGGAGGCAGAAAGCCAGACATGGTGGCATGAGATCAATGGGAGAAAGACAGGATATAAAGGTATGGTTTTTTTAAAAAAAGAGTAAATTCTGTCCTTACAACCACAATGTAAGATAGATTCAGGTTATGATGCGAGGCCAAAGGGAACAATCCATCATTTTACTTCTATGCAGGCGAATCTAAACAGGGATCAGCACAGAACCCAAGCAGAACAAAATCCAAAATTCAAAATGATCTTGATAGGCGGGAGCACTGGGCTGAAGATGACAGAATGAAATTCAGTCACGATGAATGCCAAGTCTTGCACCTTGGAAAAAGAAACGAAATGCACAGTTACAAAAGGGGGGGGGGGATCCTTGGCTCAGTAATACTGCGAGTGAGAAGGATCTTGGAATTGTTGTAGATCAACGATTGAGCCAACCGTGTGATGTGGCTGCAAAAAAGGCCAATGTGGTTTTAGGATCCATTCGCCATATAGTATTCAAAACCTGCAATGTACTAGTCCGCCTCAATTCAGCACTGGTTCGTTCTTCTCTGGAATACTGTGTCCGGTTCTCATCGTACTCTAAGAAGGATGCCGACAAACTGGAGCAAGTTCACAGAAGGGCCGCAAGGAAGGTCAGAGGGCTGGAAACCAAGCCCTAGAAGGAAAGACTGCAAGAAGTGGGCAGATTTGGCCTTGAGAAAAGAAGACGGAAGGGAGAGAGGAGAGCACTCTTCAAGTCAGGAAAAACTTCCCAACTCGGCAGAGCAGTACGACGACAGAAACCGTCAGCTTGAGAGGTGGCGAGCGCTCCAACGCTGGATCAGCTTGAGAGGTGGTGAGCGCTCCAACGCTGGAGGCCTTCAAGAGAAAATTGGACCACCAGACGGCAGATGTGTTTTGATTTGTATTCTTGCAATGAGCAGAGGGTTGGAGACGATGGCCTCAGAGGCCCCTTCCGACTCCGTGATTCTACGATTCTATGATGCTAAGGCAGTTAAAGGCAATTTCTACCCTTTTGTCTTTGGGTAGAAATAAATAGATAAGATGTGGGGGGGGCGCGAGGCGGCTAAAAAAACACAAGGCTTGGCATTCAAGAATGAGTGAAGATGACTCATGATCTGCGTGTTAAAATTATGATTCCTTACCTCTGGGCATTAAACAGCGTGATCCCCACACACTCGTGTGACTTTGGGTTTGCTGTTAGCTCAGTGCCCAGAAGGAGGGGGGTTTAATCGCTCATCTGCCCCCATTTCCCTGAGTCGACCTAAGTGGCGCATCTCAGGAGCAAAAGCCGGGCCGAGATCCGCCCAAAGGCCACGCTGTCTCTTCCCGACAGCCACGCTGACGGAGGACAACTTCGAAAAAAAAAGCCGGGACGGTGGCCTCTTTCCTCCCTTTTAATTAATAAAATTGCAGCTCGGAGCTCATTATCAGTAATTATGGCCACTCTTAGAGCTTCCCATCGCTTGGCTGGCACCCGCCCCTGTCAGCCTTAATCCTGTGCCAAATGCAACATGAATTAACATTTAATTAGCCATTAAATAGAATTAACGGTCTCGGATGGCAACGGGGCATGCAGAAAAGAGGAGGGGAAAGGGGGGCTTGTCATGGACCGAACCTGCCACCCGTGGCTCTGAGAAATCAGCCACAGGCGTGCATTCCAGACTCTCATCCAGGAAACAAGGTGCCACAGACAGAATAGACCCCCCCCCAGCCGATCTCGGAGTCCAGAATGCGTCCAGGGAACAGACAGACCTGGAGGGAACCAGCCCCAGCTCTCCCATACCGAACGGTGTGAATTTTGCCCACCAGCTAATGATGTATTACAATGGCAAATTGAGCCCATTTGGCGGAGCAGACCAATCCGACACAGAATGGTATCCACCCAGCAGTCGCTTGCTTCACCATACGTCTCATAGAGGAGGAAAGGATGGGTCCCCGATCCCATCACAAAGAAGCTTTGCCTCTCCCACGGCTGTCGTCCAGCAGCCATGCTGCAGGACATGAAGAAAAGGGTGCCCCTGGATGTTCTTCCTTTGCCCTCCTCCTCACCTCTTCCTTTTGTATTATGTCTTTACAGATTCTAAGCCTTGGAAAAGGTCTAGTTTTGTTCTCTTCCTTTTAAAAAAAATATATTGTTATAGAAGCTGTTCTGAGAGCCTTTTCAAGGGAAAAATGCAGTGAATCAATAAACAGGGCTCTGGCATATGCCACGTGTTTACAAATGCTTTCTCAATAGCCCCCCACAAATCGGGGCAGAGAGAGTGAAAAAGAGAGAGAAAAGCCGAGCGCTGTTTTACTTTTGAATTCTTTGCCATTCAGTCTTACTATTTTAGTCACCCATCTCCCTAGGAGCTGACGCTGAAGAGCGCCACATGTGTTCCCTAATAAATAAAAGGCAGGGTTTTGAGGTTCGTACTGGAGACATTCTTAAGTCACTCTAAGTCCTTTAGCTATTTCATTACCCTAGTTTTCCACACACGACGTTCCCTATCCCCACATCCATGTTCCACATAAAAATGGATCACAGAGGATGGATTGAGTTTTTGTGTGCACACACGCACATGTTTCTGTGTGAACCTGCGGAACGCCCATCACCGTCTTGCCACCTGGCTCTCTTCTGCCCCGTCTTCATAGACCTTAGAAACCACGTCAAATATCACATAGAGGGGAGATTCCCTCGCAGGTCTTCCTTTGAATCCATAAGCAGACAGGGATTGGAGTCTGAGCTGGGGGGTGGGGGGTGTTGTTGGACTCCATGTCCTTATTCTAGGATTCTAAAAGCTCCCTTTGTGGGACCGGTTGCAGAGCAAAATGCCAGCAACATCCAGCCCCTAAAGCCCAGGAAAGCTGGAACTTTAGATTGGTTCTCCGTCGTCTGTTGGACTCCACAATAAGCTCTTATTACCTGAACGCCAAAGAAGGCAGCATCTGGGGGAGGCGGAGGAGGCAGGACAGCGCCGGCGGATGGCGGGAGGTTCCCGGGGTCATCCGTGGAAGGTAGCGGAGGTGGAGGGGGTGGGGGGAAATCGCCTGCAGAGGGAGAGAGGGAGAAAAAACAGCTGATCAGGACATGAAAAAACAAATTTGCCACCTTAAAAGGGTTAAGCCCAAGGCATTTATTGACGGTCAAAGGTAAGCCATCTTGAAGCATAAATAGACTGCCGATAAACTTAAAGATGTAGGGCTGAAAGCAATTTGTGTTGGCGAGATGTAATTCAGGCCGCTTTTCTGCATTTATGAAATCAGATTTTAGAAGACTCCTGTACTTAAGACCAATCACCAAAGAGGGCAAGCTACTTTGCAAATCATGCGAGATCAACAACGTTCCTGCTGCACACTCAGATGCTTTCAGCAGTCCGGGAATTCCCTCTCCTAATGACAGACTATCTGTAATCCTGAATTCCTTCCTTCCACCCCCTGTTAAAAGAAACAAGGTTTTCTTCCTAATCTGCTGCATAGTTACGTTTCTCAGAAAAACAGAGGGAGGAGAGGCAAAGAGCAGGGAATAAAGGGGAAAAGGTGCTGGGATCCCCTTTCAGTGCTTTATTTTACTTGATCATTTCACCTACAACTTGTTTTTTTTCTTCCTGGAAGTCAAGGAAGCCTCTCTAGAAGCCTTCATACATTCCCCCTGAACGTGGAGCGCTCAGCATCAAGAAGACATTGAACACAGAAGAAGGAAGAAGTGTGACGAGAAGGAAAGGTGAATTTGGAAACCATACTTATAGCAATGAAACTTAAAATAGCATTTGTCTTTTTTTTCTCGTAACAACATCACACTGTTGGCTCACATTCACCTTGTGATCTACGACAATTCCAAGATCCTCCTCGCTTGTTGTTTTGCTGAGCCAGGTATCCCCCCTCTTCTAACTGTGTATTTGGTTTCTTTTTCCAAGGTGCAGGACTTTGCAGTTATCCCTTTTAAATTTCATTCTGTTGCTTTCGCCCAGTGCTCCATCCTATCAAGGTCATTTTGAACTTTGTTTCTGTCTTCTAGGGTATTAGCTATTCCGTCCAATTTGGTATCATCTGCAAATTTGACAAGCATTCCCTGCACACCCTCATCCAGGTCATTAATAGAAATGTTGAAGAGCACCGGGCCCAGGGCTTAGCCTTGGGGGACCCCCCTTGTGACCTCCTCCCAGTTAGAGAAGGACTCATCAGTCATCACCCTCTGAGTACGATTCTGTAGCCAATTGTGTATCCACCTGACACTTGATCTATCCAGCCCACACATAATTCATTTGCTAATCAGGAGATCATGGGGCACTTGATCAAAAGCTTTGCAAAAGTCAAGATATACTACATCTACAGCATTCCCTCTCTCTATCAGGGAGGCGACCTGATCAATAATCGAGATCGAATTACTTTGGCAGGATTTGTTCTTGACCAATCCATTTTGGCTTCTAGTTATTACTGCCTTGTTTTCTAGGTGCTTGCTAAGAACATTTGGACTGGATTGCTGTTTTCAGTTGCGAACGAAACCAGAACATAAAAGCGTCATGTTTGAAGAAACATGAAACTCCCAGCATGCCTTCTAAGTTCTCAAGACCTGCTAAAGAAGTTCTCTGCACAGTGGGGAAAAGGCCACGGCAAAGTCCTTGCCCTTGAGAAAGCATCCAAAGAAAGTCAAAACAGGTCTCACTTGTGACATTTGTAGGGGGTGAGGATCCGGCCCAACGCAAGAACAGATCTCCACTTTGTAAATGGCGTTTGGGTGGCCTGAATGGTGAGCATGGTATTTGGGAATGGTCCTATAATATATGGATAGTTTTATTCCAATTGCGATGGCGTGGGGAAGGGTTTTTATCCCACCCTATAAAATCCTGCACCACCAGTCTGCTCTCCCGCACGCTGAGAACCATTCCGGTAACCTCCTGAACACACCTTGGAGCTGTTGACAGAGATGTGATTATGCACATAAATAATATTGATGCCCGAAATCAACAATCCAAGCAATGATTTAGGAAACCATGTTGCTACCAGATGGCTGACGATGTGGCTCGAGTCCAAACCACCTCTCCAGAGGGCAGCTTCCCACTTTCTGGTTGCCAGAGGCTTGTCAGCGCCCGTTTTCGCCTTGCAGGTGGAGAAGCCCCTGGACAGCTAAGCTGCTGCAGAGGGACTGGCATTGATCAGAGCTGGAGAAGGAGAATTTTCCGGCCAGCAAGAGGGGTGGCAATGAAAGCCGGGAACCAGACTCGCTCTGAGTTTTTATCTGTTCCAGTTAATGCTGTGCAGATTGGCAGACCCAAGAAAAGTCACCTGAAGGGAGCAGAGGAGGATGCTGAGCAGGGAATCGGGAATGACAAGAAAAGAGGACTAGCCAGTACAATAGAAAACAAAATATGGGCACAGGGCTTTAAAAGGTGTGTGTGTGTGTGTGTGTGATGCGTTCATGTTTCCCAAACACCGGCAGAAATCCTGTTGCTTAGAGTTGCAAGTTGCACTAGGTTGAATGTCATCGGATCCAGATTTCCTCATGCTCACGGCGTGCTCTACAATACGCCGAGCTAAAAACTCTGCACTGTTATCAGCATAAGATTCATGGAAGCCTTTTCCTGCTTTTAGAATTTCATTCCACTCACTAATAGAACGATCGCTTTCCCAGCTGGACTTTCAAGCTACGATCAATATCTCCAAATTTTTCTCGGCAGGAAAGAGGGTGGGCAATCCCAGACATTTGGTGGGGGGATCTTCCCAGCTGGACTCTCAAGCTACGATCAATATCTCCCAATTTTTCTGGTCAGGAAAGGGGGGGGGCAATCCCAGACATTTGGTGGGGGGATCTTATTACAAAGGCTGGTTCATCTACATTTTATTTGGGGACAATCATTCTTCCAGGACGGGCCAGGCATGGCAATGAGTCAGTGTGGTGACTCAAAGCCCATCAAGAGAGACACAATTTGTTAGCTGGAAGGAGCATCACGCCTCGGCATCCGGGAGGTGCCAAATCAGACATCTGCAGCGGCAAAGTGGGAATACGAAGACCCCCCGCTGACTCAGACGGCAAACTGCATCTCCTGCTACACAAGTGACGCCGCTAAAACAACATCGTAATTTTCTGCAATTAGGGAATGCAAATAAGCAACAGCCTAGCATTGTGGACTCGGAAGGATTCATGGGGTTCCCCTAGATCTCCCCCCCCCCAATTCAGACAACACAAACACAGTTTGCACCACATTGCTTCCCGTACAGAGTTAGTTGGGAACATATTTCTTTTTTGGGGGGGGGGAACACTTTAGAAGAGGGATTTGTAACCCCTAAACTAATTATTCTCAAACTCTGGTACCCAGGTCTGATTCTGACTAGAGGTGGGCGCGACTTTAAAAAATAAATGGCAAAATTCATCAAAAATTGCTAATTCATCCATTCATATTTATCAAACGTGACAGCCCACAACAAATATGAATCAATGAGTTTTTAGCGATTTTTAAATTTTGTTGGGAAAAATTCGTGATTCATCAGCCTTGACGAACCGCGAATCCCCATTTCCCCCCCAAATTTGTGCCCATCTTTCATCCTGACCAGTCCAAGAGAAACAGCTGTTAAAGGTGCCGAATCTCTGCACTTCAGCCGACCGCTTCTCTTGCAAAAGTTGGGCAAACGACTCAAGACAACGCCTCTCACCTTCTTTTCTTTCACATGTCGAATGGAGGAAAGGGGCAAAAGAAAAACAAGCCCCCTTCTTCTGCTTTGGGACTTTGAACGTTATTGATCCCCGTTTTTTTACTTAGAGGGTCAAGAGCCTCCTCAACTGGAGAGAGGCTTTCTCACTCTTGGCTTCTCAGGAGCAAGGCTCTTTCCTGACGGGGAGAGGCCCACGTGGATCTCTGAAGACCTCTTAAAGATCTCCAGAGCTTTTAGAGAAGTCGATGCAGGATTCTGTCTCCAGAAGTGGGAGACGCAGCGTACAAAGTGCGCTGGGAAGGCTTTCTCTCTCTCTCTTTACCCCCTACCTCCTCCAGCTTAGAAAAGAAGCACTGTCTCTCCATTTAACCAACTGGTTTGCAAACATGAGCAAACCACAAAGTTTTGTAACTAACCCTTGGAATCAACTTTCATGTTGATGGAAATCTGTTTTTTTCCTACAATTTCAGAGTTTTCCCTCCAGACGGTAAGAATGTAAATCTGAGCTCGATTTGGCCTTACTCACAAGGAGCAACAACATTTTTCTTACCAGTAGAAAGGACAGGGAGAACTTTCCTGACACTATTGGCAGAAGACTTATACAGGAAAGAACAACATTTTCCTGGGGAAAATTGTCCATTTTTGGTGGTGTTTTTTTTTTTTTTTTGCACCCGCCGCACATTTCATGAAATTGTGCCAATTTCCCCCAAATGGGATGAGTCATATTCTTTCTGAAATAGTTTGGAGCACCAAAATGCATTGTTTGCCCCTTTCTCAATAATCTTCGATGCTTGCTCTGTGTTTCTGTTTTTGTTCCCCCCCCCCTTGCTTCTAAAATGGGAAAAAAAGAATATCAACATTTTATGCCTATTTACAGAGATCCAGTTTTCTGCCTTGCGCTTCCGGCTGCAGGTGAGGAATACTGGGAGATTTTGAAGAGAGGAATCTCATCATGACAAGAGCCTAAGCCTAAGCCAATAAGAACGAGTAATTTGGCAAGTATTCCCAGCCTTACCAGGCATCTAATATTTTCTATGCCTGAGCCCTCAGATTTGCAAATGAATCATAGAATCATAAAATAATGACGTTGGAACAGGCTTATAAGGCCATCGAGTCCCGACTCCCTGCTCAAGGCAGGAATTCAAATCAAGCACATCTGACAGAAGGTGGTCCCATTTTCTCTTGAGTGTCTCCAGCGTTGGAGAGCTCACCACGTTCCGAGGTCATTTGCTCCATTGTTGTACTGCTCTAACAGGTAAGACGTTTTTCCTGATATTCAGCTGAAATCTGGCTTCCTTTCACTTGAGCCCATTATGACATGTCCTGCACTCTGGGATGATCAAGAACAGATCCTGCCCCTCCTCTATAGGACAGCCTTTCAAAGGTTTGGAAAGTGCTCT